TTTCGCCATTCAACCAAAAATAGGCTATACTTTGGTGGTTTCATATAAGCTTCCAAACATTGAAACAAGACGGTATACGAAATAATATGAATGGTAGCCTCAACAAAACAATTTATAAAACATGTAACATGACATAATTATCTCAATGATGCTTAAGTCTATTCTTAATTTTTTGCTCTCAAAAAGGAGGATGTAGGCAAATAAGTATGACTAATATTAAACTAGACACTAAAATAAAAAATATATGTATATTATCGTTCAAAATTACGATATCTACTAATGCGTCATAATTTAAATATTACGTTTATTTAAATATTTATTGCGGAATTACATAATTTACGTATTGTACACAAATAGGACGATATTCTAAGCCATAGATACATGAGATATCGGAACACACATTTGCAATATACCGGTATCAGAAATCGATTCCAGGGACGACAAACAGACTTTATCAATGGAGTCACATTCCTCAGCAATTAGGGAACGAATGAAGAAGTGAATAAAAATAAAAATTATGTATCATTTCCAGCAAATAATTTAATGGAGTCGGTACCACAATTCTGCTAGCTTGATCACAATCTGGTGTCTTAAACTGTAAAGTTGGTATTTATCTGTATGGCCTCTGTGTATCTAGTATTAATCTGCCCAATAATCACTCATTCGAGTCTGCAAGTAAAAAAATTGCATAGGTTTGATTTGATTGCAGTTTATTATTCGTTTACCCTGGAAGTCGTTAAGGAAGTCTGGAACATGTGTTAAATACATATTTATGTAGTTAAAATGTAAAGGATTTGAAATTCCGCTCATTTCAACTTCTATAACAAAATTAAACTCACAGTAAGATGATTCGTAACCATTATCTTTTGATTATTTAATGTGTATTTAAATAACGTTGCAATACCTACCTACTTTAGTTTTGATAACCTTTCGCTATATTCTGATAAAATACAAATCTAACTCAATGCTTCTTAACTTAGAAATTGCTGCAAACCTGTTCATTAAAATAGATAATTCCAAACAAAATTTGTCTGCTTGCTCATGTTCTACGGTCAACGCTATCTTTATCCGATAATCCGATCGATTGAGTTTCAACTTGGCACAAGCTTTGGTAAGTCTTGCGAAGGTTTCTGACTCTATGTGTTAAATATTAAATATATTATCTATGGCACTATAAAAGTAGGACAAGGGGTACTGGAGTCGTTTCAATAAATGACTTTATTTGATTTTTTTTTTATTTTACTGGTAGAGGGTAATTTGCCGTACCGCGTGCATTTATGTCGACTCTGTGTATTTGGGTATTTATCGCGGAAATGTCTTTAATTTTGTTTGTTTTAATTTTGATAATATTCGGGCATTTCCACTCTTCAAATATTATATTTATTATTACGGTTTGTTTAGATATATTATTTGTTAATGAGACATTTCGATAAGGAACCAAAGAGAGAGAGAGAATAAAGAACACTAGTTTTATTCATTAATCAAGACCCAAGTTTATGCCTACTGCCTACGGGTAACCGGGTGTAGTCTTATCTAGAGCTATAAATCCATAAAACGTCGAATGATTAATTAATGTTGTACTGACATACGAGTATCGAAATCGTAATAAATGAATAAGTCAAGGTTAATCAGGTTATTATAGATCATAAATACACTTAATAGCGTTTTTCAAAACAAGCTTGGGAATATATATTTGTTTAGCTTAATAATTGGCCTGGGTATTTGAAATACACAGAGCAATGTGGATTTTATCATTTTACTTATTTTTTTAAATTGATTGATTATGATCTGTGTATCTAGTATTTTAATCTGCCCAATAATCACTCATTCGAGTCTGCAAGTAGAAAAATTGCATAGGTTTGATTTGATTGCAGTTTATTATTCGTTTACCCTGGAAGTCGTTAAGGAAGTCTGGAACATGTCTTAAATACATATTTATGTAGTTAAAATGTAAAGGATTTGAAATTCCGCTCATTTCAACCTCTATAACAAAATTAAAATCACAGTAAGATGACTCAAGTAGTAATTCAGTAACATGATACACCTGATAGCGTTTTTCAAAACAAGCCTGGGAATATGGGTGTAAATATTTGTTTAGCTTAAATAATTGGCCTGAGAATTTGAAAAACACAGAGCAATGCGGATTTCATCATTTGACTTATTTTTTTAAATTGATTGATTACGATTTAAGATGCATTGTAATACCTACACATTTTTTCTGCTATAAATACCATTAAATAGAAAAAAACTCTTTGTTATTTTTAGTAGCAGAGATAGACGGAGGAGGTCACGGCCCTACCCTAATATTGAGTGATACCGAAAACATTGATCACTAATCATAGGCTATTGCTGACCTTCAGACCTAAAACCCAAGGCTTAAGCGTATGGCCGAGAGAATTATTCTTGTAAGACCATATTCTAGAGAAAGGTACTTACCTTTCTTACCCTAGTATTTTGATGTAGATTAATGTTCCCCATTAACTCAATCTTAGCTTGAAGACTTTAATTTTCTTCCAGAAAGCGTTTGTATGATTCCTTTATACTGTCCCACCAAACTTTCGAAGGATCTTCCGGTTTAAGTAAATACATAATTTCCGAGTACTTATTGTACGATATACCTACAAACGGTGTTAAAAAATCTTTAGCAACAACTTATGAGGGCAACAACTCCTCTTGAGGCTACTGGTAATTAGGTTATAATATACTAGCGACCCGCCCTCGCTTCGCTTCGGAAGCATTAAAACACACATGAAACAAAAAAAATAAAATAAAAAAATAAATAAAAAAAAGTAACCTATGTTCATCAGGGACAATGTCGGCTTCTAATGGAAAAAGAATTTTTCAAATCGGTCCAGTAGTTTCGGAGCCTATTCGAAACAAACAAACAATCAAATCTTTCCTCTTTATAATATTAGTATAGATTATTTAAAATATTTAAAATTATACCAATTATAATAAGTTCCAATATTTACTTCGAACGGCCGTTTATTTAAATAGATAGAAGGAATACTGCTCTCTGACGGAATACGATCTAACGAATAATGAGTACTTTGTTTATTTTTTTGTATTTTTATTTATTTAGTATTTTCATTTATTATTTTGTTGTATTTTGTGTATTTTGTTACCTAGTTTAACAAAAATAAAAATGTTATATAATTGCTTGTGTTGTCCAACCGATTGTTTGAATGATTCAGATAAACATTCAACCTCATAACTCGCATACTTATGTAAATAAGCGTAATTAATTGAAATCCCTATTCTTTTGAGAACTAGGGCGGTTTCAAATAACTTTTCGGAGAATTAACTGCGTCGCTGCCAAGTGTACGCTGCACCACTGTCATTGCCAGACAACTTTTCATTCTCGATGTCTGAAATTGGTGTGACATTCAAGAAAAATATATTCTATAAAAAATGCTTTACGATTTTTCATTAACAAAAAAAAATTATTTCATAAAACCTTGTGATGATTAATACTCGTACATTTATAATCATAGATAAATAAATGGAATATGACAAACTCACATTCAGTATCATTCTAACAAATATTTTAATCTTTTTTTGTTGTTTATTATTGCTTAGATGTGTGGACGAGCTTACAGCCCACCTGGTGTTAAGTGGTTACTGGAGCCCATAGACATCTACAACGTAAATGCGCCACACACCTTGAGATATAGTTCTAAGGTCTCAACTCAGGTATTGTCACAACGGCTGCCCCACCCTTCAAACCGAAACGCATTACTGCTTCACGGCAGAAATAGGCGGGGCGGTGGTACCTACCCGTGCCGACTCACAAGAGGTCCTACCACCGGTAATTACGCAAATTATAATTTTGCGGGCTTGATTTTTATTACACGATGTTATTCCTTCACCGTGGAAGTCAATCGTGAACATTTGTTAAGTACGTATTTCATTAGAAAAATTGGTACCCGCCTGCGGGATTCGAACACCGGTGCATCGCTCGATACGAATGCACCGGACTTCTTATCCTTTAGACCACGACGACTTCAAAATCACCGCCAACTCGCAAAACATACAGAAGGCGGGCCACTAGAAACGATTGTCTTTGAATAAACTTGCAACCAGTGATGCGGTGTAGTTGAAATCCTGAGGTTGTTACCAATATTTCCGAACTACGAGTAATACGTGCTCACGAAAGATTTCCACTATCATGTAAAAAAATTGACATCAGATTAAGTGTTTTTTTGAAAGTTAGGTACTGGTGTTTGTAGATAGATGTTAAAACTCTCACTCTATTTTAATTTCAGAAATGCACAAACGACTGAAGGTGATTCAGAGACACGCAGACTGTATCATGATGAACACATCCTAACAGCTAGAAACATTTACAACAAGTTCTAAGTAGAAATGCACCTTTGCATCAACAAAGTGTTTATTATGTAGAACATCGTAGTATAAGGAAACTCTCACAAAAACAATCCCGGTAGGTAAATCTATCTTAGTCATGTGATACATGCGACTCCACACTTCCCAACAAACTTTTTTAACGTTGGGTAGAAGATCTGTAGTTCTAAATTATAGATAATCTCCTTCATACTAAATAGATCCAGCCCCAACGGATTACCAGCACCGAGTAAGTATGGATACGCTGTACTATGACTGTATGACAAACTTTAGTTGAATCATTTAGATAAATTTTCTTAATACAAATTTACTTAATTTCTTAATACACATATACATTTCTATAAGTATTAATACAAAACAGCGTAGACCGGAACGTGTAGAAGACAAGCTTATTGTTATTTCCAACTATAGTGGTTAGTTTATATAGTTCCAAGTATATAGTTCCAACTTATAGTTTGTTGAACTCAAGTATATTTTAAAAAGTTACAGACAAAAATTTGGACCATAACAAATGTTTATTCTAAATTATTTAAGAATAGATCAAAGCATAAAATCTTTTTAAAAAAATCATTTTTTGACATTGACTTTAATCTTTAGTTGACACTTGACATGTAATCTGACTAAACCATAGACCTACTTCAGTGGACTAAACTCAACACTTTCCAATGAAAGTGATTTCAAAACTTTATTCCATTTAAACCTATTTTTAGCTATTTAATAATTCCACGTTTCTAATCCCCTTCACATAAGCCAGTAGCTTTCTCCTTTAATCTTAATTAGATAAATTAAAATAATGGGACGAAAATCGCAATCAAAACAAAACCAAAAGAAATCCACTGGAAAGGAAAATAATAAATTATACCTACAGAAAAGAAAAGAATTAGCTTTTCTTGTTGATAGAGTGCTAAGACTTACCAGTATATTTCAAGCGACTGGTAACGTAAGCAAAAGTTGGGAACATCATTTAGAAATCGAGAAATTAGTGAATGAAATTACTAACATAGAAGGAACGCAGTTAAGAAATACTCGAACTCTTCGGCAAACTCACATTGATAAATATTTGCAGTGGCTAAGAGAAAACGGTGTCCAATTCGATGGTAACTATTTTTAAATCAATGTAGCATTTACATTAATCAATAATAACACACCAAACATTCAGCACTACTTCAGTACATCAATCCAATTGGTACTATTATTTCATAAGGTCAAATTTTGTCTCAGTTGTTTTTGACAATTTAACAATTAAAGTATAGCAAATTTTCAGTAAAAATATACTTAGATAAGATTAGAATTATAGATATTACATATAATGTAATTGACTCTTTAGAATTTTAAATTTTTTGATTATTATTAGGAAATTTATAGAATATTTTAAATATATAATTAATAACCCTTTGAATTTTTATAGGAAATGAAGTGGTTTTAAATGGCTTTTGCTTCGTTACTATGAATCATCAATAAAAAGAGTGGTTTTATTAAAAAATATTAAAAAATTAAAGATTTAGGTCTGCATTTAAAAATATTTTTTTATGATCCTGCCTATTTGCTGATGCCTAGAGAGCCATTCCAGCGAAGCCCAGGCTATCAGCCTCTGGCTCACTGAGCTCACAAGCTCAACCTTAGGGAATTTGTTAATGATTTGAGAATGATTGTTGTAATAGGTCTGCCATCTCCAAAAATCAGCCAAAAACTCATATAATGTATTATTATTGTAACTCACAATTCAGTAGGCAAGCCTGCCATAAGTAGGATTGATGACCAGATGTAGGTCGCAGCAATCTGCTGGGTAATTCAGGACTAGTAATTCTTGTGAGCTTTAAGGTAGGTTTATGTCCAGCAGTGGTTATCTGTAGGCTGATGATGATATTTTTAGCTATTGCAAACTTTGTTTGTAGATAGGCAACATCATTTATGGAAGTAGATTTAATTTAATTTAAATAATACATTAAAGCACAAATGTCTGTACTAAACTGTATGAGATATTGCCTAGAATAACTCGAATTTAAAGTAGTAATTGTAATAACTTGAATATTTATTAAAAGATTTCAAATACATATTTCAGTTAAACAATATTTATTTCTGCAAAAGTATCAAAAAGTAAATAAGTATATTATGAAATTATTAAAAAAAATCTTGTTATTTACAGGGATTGAAATAGCGGAATTCAAAGGATATGATCTTGGTCTTAAAGCTTCAAAAGATTTCACTGAAGGATCTCTGATTTTAACCATACCATCCAAAGTTATGATTACAGAGAAAAATGCCAAAGAATCTGAACTATCAGCATTTATTGCCGTCGATCCTCTTTTACAGAATATGCCAAATATTACTTTAGCCCTATTCCTATTACTTGAAAATAATAACCCAGGTAATTTGGTTAATTTAAAAAAAAAAACAATATTTCAGTTGACCTACCTTGCACACCTTAAGTTCTCTGTTGGCTGTGGTTGGTCACTACGGAGCATCTGTCATCTGTAATATAACTCCGTAGGCTCTGCTGCAGAGCCAAATGTTTTTACACCTAATGCTATGAAATCGTCAGACTTGGCAATCAATATCTCTAGTTAAAACACACTCAGTCTCTGTACTGTTACAATTAAGCCATTTTTGGCCTTTTTCATGGTTAGCAACACGGAGAAAAATAACTATTATTATGAGAATTCAGAGTTGAGTGATAGTGAAGACCTATTTGATTTTCAAGTGTAAGTAAATGTAAATAAGGCAACAGACAATGTTGATTATAATTCTCACACTTCAAGTAGTGTTTCTGAAATTATACTATCAAAGAGACAACAAATTCACTGAATGATTTAGATGAATCGTGTGATGTCACGAAAGAATTAGATATTCCATATAGAATACATTTTAGTGTATCCCCAAAGGTCCTTGAACTACAAATTCACAAGCATGTATAGTTCTTCTCACTCAAAATACCCATTGACCGTGAAAATGAGGTAGAGATATTGGCAAGTAGTGGTACAAAAACATACCGAATGCTAAGGTTTAAAGTAGACAATAGAGTAACTTATAGTTAAAACGGTAATCACTTATGGGAGCCCAAGTGAATACATCAGTTCATCTATATGAGACAATAGAAATCCTGCTTTTAAACTATAACCCATGATCGCATTCCTTCAGAAATGGGTGAAATGTAACAAAACATTAATTTTGATTACTGAAAAAAATTTGTATCTGACCCAAGATATCCGCATTAGCATGATTCTAAGATAGCTGAATATTTGAAATATTACTATGAATGTTTCTTATTTCATAACTAAACAAAAAACATTTTCAGATTCATTCTGGAAGCCTTACATTGAGGTTTTGCCTGAAAAATATTCTACCATTTTATACTACACATCTGAAGAACTTGAACTATTGAAAGTAAGCATTACCTAAAATGATAATAGGATATAAATTTGATTAACTGTTGAGAGCAACTTTTTTTTGTATTTTTATTTTGCTACATATCCCGATCGATAGCCTTGAGAAGCTATATCAGCGCTACCCTAGCGTGTAGGTGAGCTCTCGGGGCTCAAACCGGAGGTGTTGCTAACACTGACCCTAGCAACAGGAGTGCTTCGCAGAATCTACCACCGAATCGGAAACGCGACCCACTGAGAAGATACTGCGAGAAACTCAGTGGGCTTAAGCGCAACATCCATTGTGTTTAATAATTATTAGTCTCAACGCAGTCTCAGTAATTACGCAAATTATAATTTTTACTGATTTGATTTATATGTATTAGACGATGATATTCCTTCACCGTGGAAGTCAATTGCGAACATTTGTTAAGTACGTATCTCCTTAGAAAGATTGGTACCGCCCTGCGGCATTCGAACACCGGTGCATCGCGTGATGCGAATGCTCCAGGCGTCTTATCCTATAGGATAAACGACGACTTCAAATGCTGATGTTTAAGATTGTAAATTTTCTCTTCTACAATGTATATTAATTGTCTTCTACAATATATATTATATTAATTGTTTTCTACAATGTATATTAATATCGTTTCATGGTTACAGCCATCGCCAGTGTTTGAATCATCATTAAAACTTTACAGAAGTATAGCCAGACAGTATGCATACTTTTATAAAAAGATTCACACACTCGATATACCAGTGCTGAAGAAACTTCAAGAAGTTTTCACTTTTGATAGTTACAGGTCAGTTGCAAGTATTTCAATAAAAAAAAACTACTAATTGTACTTTCAGTATATTGAAAAATATATGTTTAAAAAAGTCTATCGGGAAAAAAGTTTAATTCTCTAACTGCATTTTCAACTCGGACAAATATTTTTGGCATCAATAAGAAAAGGAAACGTATAGAACTTAAAAAATATATATTAAATAGTAATAGTAGTGAGGGTGCTATATGCATGCATCAAAAAAGTAATGTTTTTTTTTTAAATCTCTTAAATTTATTTCCATTTGCTTTCATTTAATTTTTTTAGAGTCTGGACATCTTGATTATTATATTTAGATCAATAACATAAAGAAATGCAATTAACAATATTATAAAGAAACCTTAATATAGATATCTATAATATAGTATAGAAAATCCATTTTTGAATTGTTTAAAATTGAAATGATTCTGAAGCTATTCATCTAATATAAATGATTAAATGCTTACTTCTCTATTTATTAAGTAATCCATTTGCTATAGTACTAAGTTGTATTATTCCTATCCGTTTTATGTAAAAGGCTTAAATAACTCCTAAGGTCTATCTCTCTAAAATGAAAACATAAAAAATAAACAATCCAAATATTTAATACTGAAAATTAAGATAACATGAACTACATTAATCTGAATACAAAATAAAAACCTCATTTTCTTTGTTTATCAGATCTTTAAATAAATCAGGTCACTAGTTTTAAATTAAATATACTAACATAATATTTAATGGATTAAGAAATTAATTATTGAAAAGGCTTTCTCAGTGAATCCCACATGTACTCCGGAGACTCTTTTCCGTTACGAGAATCCAATGTATTCAATGTGTAAATATTTGATGAAAGCATTGGACTGACACTCCGGGTACTGCTCGAGTTTCTTTGAATTTTTCTGCATTCAAATACCGGTGTAGGTATCTTCTGATCGCAAACAGTAGAACTTCCATGATTCATACATTTTTGATGCTTCCATTTAAAAACAGCGTAAGTTAATAAAAATAATACTATCCCTAATCCTGCTATGCTTGCAGTGGCAACTGTCACAGATTTCGTTTGACTCGACATACTCTCATGCCCTCCATGCGACGATTCGGTTCTCTCAAAAGAACTGAAACTTTGGTAGTCGGGTGAAATATTGCCGGTCAGCTCACGTAGATGTTGCAAATCTTCTAGAACAATCAAACCATCGCCATCTACGTCTTCCTCTGAAACAGGTTTTAAACTAGGCTGTGCAGGTGATGTTTCTGTAAATTATGTAACAATTAGTACAATTATATTAAATTAACTTATTAAAAAATGTAATATTAAACGAGCCTACCTTCTTGCAAATGCTGTTCATTCGATTGATTTCCATAATTGTTTCTCATCATTGTAAATATTTGATTCCAATTCACTATATTATCTTCTTTGCTTTCAGTCAGGATCCGACCTTCTCTTACTGTCTCCCCGGTATCATTCAACTGTTTGATGCCTTCAGGGATCTTCTTAAATTGTTCATTTTTACTAATTAAGTTAGCATTTGTCAAATTTTGAAACAAAGACATTATACCCATATTTTCAGCGTTTTCGTTAACATTGTTACCGAAATCTAAAACGAGTGGAATGTTGGCGTGATTCGATGCTAAATTTGGATAGCCTGTTGTCGTTTTTGCAGTTGCTTCATGTGAATTTGCTTCTAATATAGCTCTTAGAGGATAAGTCTCTTTAGAAATTGGTTCTATAAGAGATTTAGATAAAAATGGCTCTGGCGGATTTGGTTCTTTAGAAGCATTGTGGAAAATATCAGCTAAATGGACATGACTTGAACCTCTTTCTCGGTGTGCCACTAATTCATTTAAAGACATATTCCTTTCCATTAGTATTTTTGATAATCGTTCACTCGCTGAAAATATAAAATATGTTATTAATACAAAGAATTATGGTAAAATTAGACAACCAAACATAAAAAGATATTAAACACACTTTGAGTGTCGTTCAAAATTTCTTCGATTTCGACTTTGGCTGTTTCTTCCGTAAAACTTTCCGTAGTTTCTGGTGATAGTTCAGTCGTTGTTGAAAATATCGGTGACCTCATTCTATTACTTGAAGTTTTGGGACTGCGTGTTGTAATGAAATCTGCAAGCTCAATGTCTTTTTCTTTATATTCATTCATTACAGCCGGGTTTGTTGTTTGTGTTCTCGTTGTAAATTCTGACGCAAAGGATACATTGCTCGTGGAAAATAAATGCTTTAAAAAGTCTTCTTCGGGTAGTTCAGTTGTGTTAATTTTTTGACGTAACCGTTTTTTCTTTAGTCTATTGTTGAATGATTGTCTTCGAGCCAAAGAAGAATTTTTAGAATATTTGTAAGATGGTGTCACTGTTGGACTTTCAGCTACCCGAACAATAACTTCAGATCCAATTTGATTGTCAAACAATGTATTTAACGGTATATTCATTTCTGTACTTGTACTTTCAGTTTGTGTAATGCTGTTTGTAGAATTTATGAAATGATTTTCGTACTTAGTAAATACTTGTTGCGTTGGTATTTCCTCAGTTGTCGATGCCAATGTAGTAGTTGGATGATCAATCTCAGTTGTAGGATCGGGTGAAACATGTGTATTTTTAGGAAGAATATATTTAGATTCATTTGTTTTCGTAAAATTTCTTCTATGAAGAGCATATTTTCTTGCATTTAACGCTATCAAATCTTTGTTTACATGATTTTTAACGATTGTTGCATTTAACATAGGTCGCATTCGTAATTTTCTACGTATTAATGGTGAGAACCTACGAATCGTTACAGCTCTATGAGTAGTTACTGGCTGTGCTTCGGTAGTAATGGATATTTCGAGTTTTAGTTGCTGCTCTTCTTGATTTACTTCAGTGGTTGCAGTACTGTTTTCCACCACAATCTCTGTTGATTCATGTGTGCTAACTTGTGAGTTGGCTTCACTATTCTCGTTATCTTGTGTATTTTTAATCGCATCTTCATTGACTATGGTTTCATCGTTTTTATTTCCAGTTTGGATTTCTTGCTCGATTTCCGATGAGCTTCCTGTCTTCAATATGGCTAAGGCCTTCTCGTTCCCGCGAAGTAGATCAAGCAATGTCAGATTATGTTGTTGCAACACCTCACTTAAACTGGTCCCGTTCGATTGTTTTATAATTCTTTTCAATGTCATCGGATCTATTGAGGTCTCCTGTAAACAGCATAGCGAATATTTTGTGTTAGACCATTAACCTAAGAGGTTGTTCATTAAGCTATTAAAAGTATTAAGTTATTCGAATAGTAAATTGATCTTGTTTTCATTATGAAATGTAACAACAATTCTGAAACTTGAATTCTGAAATTGTTACTGTTACTTCTGAATCATGTCTCAAACTAGGCCTTGGCAATCATGTTGTCTTCTGTAGGTAACCGCGTACAACCAGGGTCCGTACTCACCTGTTCACCTAAGCCAGTAAAAACACAAAAAAAGAATTAAATTGCTATACCTTGTTATTTTTATTTTCAACTACACGTGATTTGTTTCTAAGATCTCCACTTGTACTCAAAGTTTTTTCAACCGGTCGCGTTTTAATTTCTCTAGGTACCACTTCATATGAAAATTCTGATGCAAACTTATCTTCTACGTTTGGCTCGTTATCTCTTTTCTTATTTCTATCTAAATATTTTTCCTCTTCTATTTGGGGAACGAATTCGTTATTTTCTACGGCTGCTTCCTGTACAAAGTCTTCGTCGTTAACTTCACCTTTATCTTTTTTTACAAAACGATTTCGATGTTTATCCGATATAATTTTATCTTCCGAATGTAATGGTTCGTCTCGCTCAATGACCACTTCAACGGGTGCTTCTTTGGGTGGACCTGCATTGTATTCATTTAATTCAGGCCAAGTGCTCGAAGTTGGTCTTCTTCGTCTCAAACCTCGTCTTTTTGATAGTCTCTCCTCTGTGACCTCTTCTCTCCATTCGCTTGGCCTAGGATCAATTTTTTTACGTCTTCTCTTTGGTACATCTGTTGTAACGTACGACGATTGATCTAAATCGAAGTATGGTCTAGGTGGCTCTTCGGGGAACACGTATCTTTCTTCTGGAACTAAGTCGTCGGAAGGTGACGGTCGTCTTTTGCGTTTACGTCTTGGCCTTCGTCTTCTTGGTGTTTCCTCGTGCTGATCATAGTTCCATACATGACTTTGTGTTGATTTTAAAACGCTTGGTTCTGTTTCGACAACTCTCCATGGCTGTAATAGAAAAGGAAAATGTTATTACGTATTAAAAACATTCAAAACATAAATGCATTAACCATAATAATAAAGAATATATTGATTAACTGAATGACTAATAAAACATTCTCTTATGCTTAAAAAATCCTCAGTAGCTTATAATCGTCTAGGTGCCGAAATTAAACGCTGGATAAGAGAAAGAGTATAACTTTTTATTTATTGCCTAGATGTGTGGACGAGCTCACAGCCCACCTGGTGTTAAGTGGTTACTGGAACCCATAGACATCTACAACGTAAATGCGCCACACACCTTGAGATATAAGTTCTAAGGTCTCAGTATAGTTACAACGGCTGCCCCACCCTTCAAGCCGAAACGCATTACTGCTTCACGGCAGAAATAGGCGTGGCGGTGCTACCTACACGTGCGGACTCAAAAGAGGTCCTACCACCAGTCATTATATTTTTTTTTTTTTTTTTATTGCTTAGATGGGTGGACGAGCTCACAGCCCACCTGGTGTTAAGTGGTTACTGGAGCCCATAGACATCTACAACGTAAATGCGCCACTCACCTTGAGATATAAGTTCTAAGGTCTCAGTATAGTGACAACGGCTACCCCACCCTTCGAACCGAAACGCATTACTGCTTCACGGCGGAAATAGGCGGGGTGGTGGTACCTACCCGTGCGGACTCCCAAGAGGTCCTACCACCAGTAAATATATTTGATGCAGCAACAATAACTTTTGAATATGAATAAGATGTTACAAAACTGATCGATTTTGCATCTCTA